TCCTCAAATCTTTTACTTTTCCTGTTTTGAAGGAAAGTCTATGGATTAATTTTTACATAATTATTTAACTTTTTTTTTGTTCAGTAATTATGTAATTAACGTTAATATATTGAACTATTGAAGAAAACGGTTCTTTGGCTACAGGCCTTTTGTGATGGCATGTGGATATAATGCTTATCAGCATCTAAACTTATTGATTGTAGATGATTTGCGCTGAAATTTTTTTTTTTTTCTGTGATAAATGCATCCACAAACTTGTTGGTTGTTGTAGATCACTCCTTCATGAGATGACATTAAGTTTCATCCAATTTAACGGAACACAATTTTATGTTGACCCCGCTGGCCGCTGCTGATCTGGGCAGTAAGGAACGCTGACATGGTATGGGACCCTTAATTTTATTTTATTTTTTGCCATCAGACCCTTAAATAATTAAATTATGATTAATTAAACAATCAATTAACTCAAATAATTGAAATTTATTAGCAATTAAGTAACTTTATTAAAATATAAAAAAATAAATGCTATGGACAAAGAACCCAGAGCCAGAGATTCTAATGTTCTGTAAAGAACATGTATTATTATTTGGTTTTATTATGACTGTGAGATATGCCTTGAAATCATGTTAAAACTTTTTGAAGTTGGTAGCAGATTATGAAACCAGTCATAAAGATGCGTAAATCTGACATATACCAGAAAATTCATACTAGAAAATGCAGTTTTAAAAGCTTTTAGATATGCTTTAATGGTGCTGCGCGTTTTGGGTTTTTCTCTTGAATTACCATATTATCTTTTTGTACTTCTATAAATATAAAGGAGCTTTTTTGAGGGTAAATGGGTTGACAGTTAATTGGCAGCCACCATAAGAGGAAACAAGGTGGTTCTTTTAGGATCACAGGAGTTTTCTCGGGTAGAGTGAGCTTGAGTGTACTGGAAACTCTTATTGGAGTGTGGTTTGAGTGATTTAGACTATTCAAATCTCTTGTAAATCATTGATTTCATAGTGGATTTGGTGTTCTTCTTCTCCTGTGGATGTAGCTATCACAAATTGTGGTAGTGAACCACGTAAAAATTGCTGTGTTTGCTGTTTTTTCTGCACTCTGTTTTCTTCTTCATTTTTCTGCTGTGCATCTTGATTCAACTCACAATGACATTAACATTATAACATTCTCATGCAATACACGGCCGCATGGGTATTGTGTAGCTTCATTATAAAATCGTAACGTTCTCATGTGAGGCACTGCCAAACCGGTTTATATTAATCAACTCAAATAAGACCGCAGGAAGAAGCAGGAAGACGAAGAGATATAAGGACTTCAAGCGGAGTAGCTTTTAGATTAGTCAGCCCAACTGCCTCACTCATAACAATCGATTCATCAAAAGGGTTGAGAACTCAAAATGCTGCAACAAATTACTGAGCGTAAGTTGCAGGACTTGAAGTGCAAATGACGCAAGTGCAAATGAAGCAGCTGGACACATTCTTCTTCCACTACTAAACGGGATCAATGGGAAATGCTGGCCCTTGACATTAACCTCTTTATGGCTGGTTAGAAATCTTTCTGGCCGAAAATCATCAGGAGCTGACCACACTCGTGAATCACGTTGAATCTTATAAACATTCATAAAAAGTCTTGTGCCTGCAGGAATATGATAGCCCCTTACTTTCGCAGTCTTCCTTTGATTCGTGTGGGGTTATGACTGGTGAGGGCGGATGTAACCCTAATGTTTCCTTTATGATGGCTTGAAGATAGACCAAGTTCCTTGTATTGATTCCTCTACCTTCCCATCTTTACTAGTCAAGATGTCTAACTCTTGCTGGGCCTTTTTCAATACGTCTGGATTATTGAGTAGCAGGGATAAAGCCCATGTCAAGATTACGGTTGGGGTATCTGAACCAACCAGGAGCATTAATTACTTGTGACAAAATCATACCAGGGATATGGCTTTGTTTATGCTTTCAGCATCACACCATTCTGTGTCACTAAGAGTTGATAGCAGCACGTCCATAAAATCTTGGTCGCTTTCAACCTCACCAGAGGCTCTTCTGCGCTTGTGCTCTTGTAAGCATTCTTTAAAATTTTTTTCCAATTCTTTTGCTGCCTTCTTCATAAGCTTTTCCTCTCCACTAATGTCCAACCATCTCAAAAATGGGAAGGCATCTGCTATAATGAACTTCCCGTTTAATTCAAAGAAATCCCTCAACGCTTTTTTCCATCTCCCACTCTCTGCATCATCATCAGAACTTGAAATTTTGTTCCCCACAATTATTCTTAGCGCATCATATTAAGGTTCACATCTCCAAACCATTTCTTCATTTCTACCAATGCCTTACTGGAGTTGTCTTTCTTCTTGCTCCATAACTGATGCGACTCCTGTAAAAATTCCTTTACAACAGCTTCTTGCACATGTTTGAGCATCTCAAGCTGGCGGAATGAGAGGAGATCACGAATGACAATCTTGCGTACATGGCGCCGGTAGGGTCCATAAGAAGCCATGCCAAAGAGGGAGTTATTAGAGCCCAGGGCCCCCGCTGCAACAAGTTTTGGACGATTAGCGAAGGCCTTATCTTTGGTAGTGAGGCACTCTTCAGCTACCTCCCAGTTACTCACTACCACAGCTTCTTGCATGCCCAACTTGATAGTAAAGATTGGTCCATATTTTTCAGCCATGTTAGCCAAGGTCAAATGCGCTAGTTTTGAACCTGTCAGGAGGTGGAGATGGCCACGCGCCTCCAGCTCTTGGTGCTACTCTCTTGTTCATATTTATAGAGAAAGTTTTTGATATCCATAGAAGAGAGAAAACAAAGATAAAGAAGGCAAATATTGTAGACATTGAAATTGCATGGAATAAAGGAAATGGAATATTCCATTGTTAAGCGATAGATTATAGCTACAAGTTGCAGGATATATATAAATACAGCCTAACTAGATATTATTTTAAGAGGTTTGTTGGCAGCTGTCGTGCTCTCGTTAAAGCATGTAGGGGCAGGCATGTCTAGATTCAATACACAAAAAAGCCTATGTTGCTCAATTAAGCCTGGGAGAGTTTGGCGGAGATAATATAGGGTAGATTAGGTTTGCCTTTACTTTGATTGATTCTAGTAAGTCAAAGGGTGCAAAAATTGCGTTACCGACGTTGCTAAATTAATATATGAGCTAAGAAGAATCTTGCTTAAGAAAGATGTGTACTAGTCAGTAACGTGCCTTTACAATTTATATGGGAAGACCATTTGGACGGCAATGAATGAAAAGACTGAATTTAAAATTGACAATGCAAAGCTCATGACAAGGAGGTATTGGAATAAATGAACATGTGAGTAAAATTAAAAAATGTGTAAAGATTTCATATTGACAAGAAATAAAGTATTAAAGTATAATATACACGTAGAAAGTCATGAACTTGATAAACTTATTTTTTGGACTCAATATAATATTTCTTTATATATGTTTATGTTTTTGATATTTTTAATAGGTTAAATGTTAATTTTGGTTTCTCAACTTTAAAGTTTTATATAATTTTCATTTCTCAAAATTTTTATACATTTTTTTAGTTTTTTTGTCAGTTTATCCGTTAAGTTTGTCTAAACTTGTATATTTTTAATCTCTTAACTAAGATAGGCACCTGTTTTGTCCCTCAATTTTAAGTTGAGGGATTAAAAATATGCATATTTAGATAAATTTAATGGATTAATTGACAAAATGATTAAAAAAATACATTTTTTATAATTGAAAAAAAAATGCACAAAAAAATTGATGGATGAAAATTATATAAAACCTTAAAATTGAGAAACTAAAATTGATATTTAACCTTTTTAATACTATACCAGAATATCCTGATTTTTCCTACCCTCATAAGATTGAGGAAATAGAGAGAAAAGATGAAGAGAGCACAAAGGAAAAGCTGCTAGTACTACCATACATGTTTAAGTTGAAAATTTTACATTAGTAAGTTTTCTTGCCAAGCATGTTAACAAAAACTCAAGGCATTCTATATACGAAGAAAGTTACAAGCGTAGAGAAAAAAGCACCGAGTGCTAGAGGTGGAATTATGGTTTCTGAGGTTCTGGCAAGTTGTAACACAAAAACCAATCGGCAGTTGGCATACCCAGCTCCAAATGCTCTATTTTCTGATAAAGCGAACCAGGTATTTCTGTTTGGTTAAATGTTAATTTTGGTCCCTCAACTTAAGGTTTTACACATTTTCATCCCTTAACTCATTTTTGTACTTTTTTGATCCCTTAATTATGAAAAATGCACTTTTTTAATTTTTTGTTAGTTAATCCGTTAAATCTATCTGAATCTGCACATTTTGAGTATCTTAACTTCTAATATATGCATTTTTTCATCTTTCAACTTAAAGTTGAAGGATTAAAAATATGCAGATTTAGATAGATTTAACGGATTAACTAATAATGGAACTAAAAAAATGTATTTTTCATAATTAAAGAATAAAAAAAACAAAAAAAAAAATTAAAAAATAAAAATTATATCTTTAAAGTCAAAGAATCAAAATTAACATTTTCTGTTTTGAGATGACAATTTTTTCCATTCCCATAGGGTCTATGGGTATATCCCCGTCACGGAGACAGGGATCTTGAAGTATATTCTTTCTTGTGGGCAAGGACATGAGACGTCTTTTCCGTTTAGTTTAATTTTGTGGAAAATTTTTCCCACTCCACATTATTTATTGTAAATTGAGTTCAGTCTGCTTCAACAATTTCCAATCTAATTACTCAACCCATTATTCATTTTAATAATAAAACTCATAATTCATTTTTTATTCTAAGCCAACTTAATTACTCAACACATTTGCTATTAAATACTCTAAAAAAAAACCAATAAAATAAAATTAATACGTTAGTGGGAAAATGGTGGTCCCCTGCAGGTAATGAGGATGGGAAAAGATTATGTTCTTCATCGAAAATGCCTTGCTGAGGATACAGATGGGGGTGTCCCTTGGTCTTAGCAGGACCTATTACCATCCTTAGTTTTGTTTTCGATTGGGTGGAATCGTGGAATCGTGGTGGGGATAGTTTTGGGCTGGACTGTTTTACGGATGAGTACTTTTGGACATCTCTAACCTTCATATTATATTCAATAAAAAATTTTTACTTATACATCATTTTTAAATATAATTTTTATATATAACTTTAGCCATTCATTTTTTACTATAACTAATTCTAAATGAGTTAAATCACATTGAGTATGCAAATAGTCAAGCTTGAGTTTGAGCTTAAATTATCAAAGCTCACGTTTTCTTGACTTAAAAAAGATGAGATTAGATCTCAACTTGTTAAAAAAAAAGTGAAGCTTATTTATAATTTAAAATGATTAAATTAAATTAAATAATATAATTTATTAATTTTTTCAATCAAATTGAGCAATTCGTGAGTAAGCTCACGAGCCTAACGTGTAGGTTAAAACTTGAGCTCAATTATTTGAGTTTGAAATTAAGTTCAAGTTTAGTTCATTTAGCGGACAGGTTTAGGTAAACTTATATTAAGCAACTTACAAGTAGATTAAAAGTTTAGGGTGACCAAAAGTATTCGTCAGGGTGATCCATTATCACCATTTTTATTTCTCACTGTTGCTGAGGGTTTATATGGGATGGTGACTGCAGCAATTGAAAAGCAACTGTATAAGGGAGTAAAGGTGGGCAATGATGATATTATGGTCTCGCATCTTCAGTTTGCAGATGACACCATATTTTTCGAGGAGGCAACTGATGAAAACATTTGGGCTATCAAACGCATAGTGAGATCCTTTGAGTTGGTTTCAGGACTGAAAATCAATTATGCTAAGAGTCAGCTCATGGGTGTTAATGTGGAGGAAGCATGGGTAGAGAAAATGGCATACAGATTATATTGCAAAAGAAAAGATCTGCTTTTAAATATCTGGGGATCCCCATTGGGGGGAATCATAGAAGAATTGCAATGTGGCAAAATTTGATGGAATCAGTGAAAAAGAAATTAGCTCCATGGAAAGGCCGATATTTATCCTTTGAGGGACGCATCACGATCGTTAATTCTGTGTTGTCTAGCTTGCCCGTGTTCTTAATGTCGGTGTACCTGCTTCATAAAGGTATTATTCATTTTATTGATAAAATTCGCAAGAGTTTTTTATGGGGTGGGGAAGGAGAAGGTAGAAAAATTAATTGGGTTAAATGGGAGAAAGTTTGCAAAAATAAATTATGGGGGGGATTAGGAGTGAGAGAGCTGAGGAAGTTCAACTTAGCCTTAATGGGGAAATGGTGGGGAAGGCTAGCAAGAAAAGAACAGGGGTTGTGGGATAAGGTTATAGCTAGCAAGTATGGAGGGAGTGGAGGCCATTGGCTTGACTGGGTAAGGGAGGGAAGGGGAATAGGATCACTATGGTGGAGGGATGTGGGCTGTCTCAACAATGTCGATGAGGAGAAAGAAGGGTGGCTAACAGAGGGTTTTAAGTTAAAATTAGGAGAAGGGAAAAGAGTGAGCTTCTAGAGAGATAATTGGGGTGGGGAGGGAGAACTTGCTAACCTCTTTCCAAGATTGTATATCTTGTCAACAGGAAAGGAGAAAAAATGTTGTCAAATGGGCAATGAGGAAGACGGAACATGGAGGTGGAATCTAGAGTGGAGGAGAGCCTTATTCGACTGGGAAAGAGAGGAAGCAGCAGAATTACAACGAAAGATCGATAGCATGCGGATATACAAGGACACCCCCGACACATGGAAGTAAGAGCATAGCAAGGAAGGCAACTACTCAACTAAAACAGCTTACAAATTGTTGACAAATGAACTTAATGGACTGGATGCAGCTCCAATACACAAGAGAGTGTGGAACCCAATCATCCCAAGCAAAATTTCTGCTTTTAACTGGCAGCTTCTGCAGGATAGAATATCAACAAAGAGCAACCTGCAAAGAAGAGGAATAACCACTGAATTGGAAGATGGAATCTGTGCTTTATGCGAGGAGGAGGTCGAGGACTCGAATCATCTTTTCCTGAGGTGCAAGGTGGCAAAGTGGCTATGGAAGGCTTGTGGGAAATGGTGGGGAATCTCAGTTAATTTGGAAAACGATTGCTGGAAATCTTTTGAGCAGTTTGGGGTATGGGCCAAAGAAACACGAGTAAAGGAAGGTTGGGATTGTATATGGAACGTCGTGGTGTGGACCATATGGCTCGCAAGAAATCAAAAGATTTTCCGAGACTCTGACATCAACAAAAGAAAGTTGCTTGACCACATTCAACTTAAATCGTTTTGGTGGATTAAAACAAGGAAATCTAGATGCTTGTTTAGTCTTTATGATTGGTTATACAATCCAATGACATGCCTCAAAGTTAACTGTGGTAGGAAATAGGGGCTTGAACCATACTTGGCTGAAAAGGTCAATATGATAGGTGGGATGGATTGAACCACTGCAGGTAGTTTAATAGGTAGCATTGAGCAACTTATTGACTCTTGTTGGCATGTAGATAGAGTTAGTAGATGCTCAATATGTACCTATTTTGTAGCATGGGCTGGAGTACCTCTTGTACTCTATATAATAAACTATATTTGTTGTGCAAAAAAAAAAAAGTAGATTACGAGTTCTTCTATTCATTTATAACTTTACGAATAATTAAAATTTATCATAAATTTTTAAATAAAAAATTTTTATTTAAAAAAATAAATATATTTTAATATTTTACCTTGAGAAAATGAATGATTGACCGTAAAAGTTAAAGCATGTCTTGTACTGTTCTTTACTCGTAATATAGTAACTTTTTAGATTACCTTCATATTTCAGTTTTAAAAAAAAAGTATAAGGTTTTAGTTAAAAGTTCATCTTTGTTAAAAATCTGATTGAAGCCAGTTTTGATATTAAGAGGTAAGAAAGAATTTGAGAAAACGAAGAACAATTAATTCATTATAATGATAATTGAACTAACCATCTGATAATTGCGTTACATCCAAAAATGTTTATTTTAACTTTTACAAGTAGTTATTAATTATTAATTTTAATTAACAAATTAAATATTTTAAATAATAAATAATAATTATTAACTATTAAATATTATTTATTAATTATCAACGGTAATATCCAAACAGCCCCAAAATCTTTTTTCCTTGCAGCACTTTCAGATGCTACACCTAGTGAGTAGGATCTTTGAAAAGATCTCTCATTGAATTTCAGTTCTGTTCAGAAAATAAAAAAACTCTTATTGAAGGGTAAATACAAAATTGGGTCACCATCTAGACAGTCAATTAAGGCTTTTTCTCGCTGATGATAACTGGTACTTTGTTTGCCAAAAAGGTTATTATAAAGATTATATATTAATATTTGATAATTATTTTAAAAAATAATTTATATATGTAATTTTAAAATTATATAAAATATTAATAAAATTTAATTTAATTATTTTGTATAAAACATGACAATTAGTTTATCTTATTTAAAAAAAAATAAAAAAAAGAGTTATATAAATTTATATTCTAGTCATGAATGTAAAAGCCTTTTATTAATTATAATAAATTAATAATTTTAACAGGGTGTTATCTTAAAAAATACTGTGTAAAAGCAATTTCCCATGGCAGCCTTAGTCTTTTATACTGTCATGGAATTTTATTTTCTATTTAAACAAAATATTTATCTTGTTTTTGTGCAATCACTTAGTTCATTTAAGTGCCAATATCTTTTGGTCAAGAATCAAACTTCGGATGAATTGTGATTTCAAAGGCGGCCCGTGCGAGGAATCAAGAAATTTTTTTAGTCGATTTTGTCCTTATCAGAAGGAAAGAGAAGGGGAGGGTAGGGAAGGGAAGGGGTTTATTTTAACTAATTAAATTAAATAGATGTACTAATAAAATAATTTAAATTGTCATGATAATTTTTTTCTTTCTTTCTTTCACTTCTTATTTTTTAAACTAAACAGGCATTAATGAGGTATTTTAAAATCAAGAATTTCATTTGAAGAAAAATAATTGATATATTTTTTAACTTAATATATTTATTAATATTTATTAATTTAATTATTAAAATGTATATTTTTAAATTATTTTAATTTTAACTTGAAAATAATAATTTTTTAATAAATATATTTAATTTTGAATGAGTTGATGCCTTTGTGCATAAAGCTGTTAGTCAAACTCTAGTCAGGGACCAGGAGTTTCGCTACACACCCACTGCAGCTTGACTTCACGTTACAACACACCAG